AATGGGAGTGTTGCTCTTTATTTATTCAAATTTCTACTGTACCAATGTGGAAAAACTTGTGCACAATATAAGGTGTTTGTATTAGGTAAATTTCAAAAACATAAAATGAACGTGTATCAACTATAACCCAACACTTCGTCCCTGCTTACAGACCCACATCTCTGTCCTCTCTCATTTACTTTTTGCTTTTTTTTTTTTTTCTTTCTTTCTCTCTCTTTTTTTATTCTTTTATCTTTTTCCCTCTCCCCCTACTTTTAAGACTACAAATAAAAAGGGAAAAGTAAATATTTACTAAAAGCTTTTTAACTCTAGGTGTTTTAAAATGTTTTAGTATTTTACGGGGTGGGGTCCAGGGGGGCTCCATACCCCCCCACACCTTACTTCTTACAAATAAATACTACTTACATCTCACCCTACTTTAAAAGACACAAATTTTTAAGGAAATAAGAGTTATGTTTATATGCATTTTATCATCGGGGTGTTTTAAAATGTAATATTTATGTGTGGGGGGGTGGCCAGTGGGCACCTGCCTGATTTTTTTACAAAAATATTTCCACCTCTCACCACATTAAGACACAAATATTTTAAGGTAAGTAAGAGTGTACTGTGGTGTATTTTACTTTTTATTGTTTTTAATGCCTATTTATTGCAACTTAAATAAAATATGCAAGCTTTTTTAATGGCTTTCATAGGATTTATAAGTGGAAAAAGGGGGTTCTGCTTTACGTAATGTCGTTTCTGGGGTGCCAAACTACCGCCTAAGAGGAGCCCTACTGTACCCCAAATGTTAAAATTCAAAGGTGACATTAAAAAAAATATCAAAGATGGGACACAAACCCACACCCGTACAGTATGCTGGGAAAACATAAGGGGCACTCCTCGCTTAATGACCAAATTTACTTCCGACTTACTTTTAGGAACATGGAACAGACCTCGGTATTAAGTGAGAAGTCCGTACTCGGCCTGTGTTAGTGAAGCCCTTTTGATCTATTCATATCCCATCTCATCCTGAAAAAATCACCAAGAGGAATGCTTGATCTGGAATGCAAAGAAGAAGCATAAGCATGAAAACTTGGTTTTGAAGAAAATAAAAAAAACGTATTAGATAACTTAAGGTGGGGGGCAGTGATGGGGAAAGCCACAAGCCAAAAACAAAATGAGGCATCAATTTTACACAATTAAGAAAAGGGGGGAAATATATGGGCTTGTGCAATGAGAAAAACCCCGGTTTTTTATTTCCGAAAAAAGACAATATACCCCACCCTCACAACTCCCTTTTGGCACCCATACCATCCCAAACCAGCAGCCTCCCCCACACAACTTCCCATACCCTTCTCTTCCCCTCCTTTCTTCCCACCACACACCTACACCAAATTTTTCCCCTGGCCACACACCTAAACACACCATTCCTTTCCCAGGCCAAAATTCCCCCACTACCTTAAACCACACCTTGTCCAATACCATTTCCCTATCACCTGATGCCCACACCTTACTCAATTTTTCACCCTAACACACCATTCACATATTGAATCAATATTTCACCCACCACCTTCATTACCGACTATACCACCAACTGCATTCTCACCCACCTAGTCACCCATCATCCACATCACTACATACACTGGACCACTGACAACTACACCTTTCACTCACACCACAACACCACAGCTTCAACCACACAGATCCACTCCCACAGCCCCAAGCCCACTCTTTACCCACACATTCCCAGCCCACACCCTAATGCACCACCCACACACCAAATCACATAGCTACCCACCACTCTCATTACTGCCCACACCAACAACTGCACACTCACCCTCCCAGTCACTCCTCATCCACACTGCCACCCACATTTGGCCACTGACACTGTCATCCAAATGGTCACCATCACACCTCGTTGCTTCCACCCACCTACTCCCCACCACCTCTCCACTGACCATCATCTCAACCTTTCAAATCCAGCCTCCAGCTCCTGCCCCCACCCATCCACTGTTTGGTCTCCACCCCCACACTGAACTGCCCACCCAAACCACTTCAACCCCTCCCATGTACACCCCAACCACTCTCACCTCAACTTTATAACCCCTATACAGATACAATGAGTGGGATAATAGAATAATAAAGCACCTTGATCTGCTAGCAGAGATGTGGATGTGGGTTCTTTGACTGATGCACATCATCACATCTACCTACAATTACATCATTATCATTTTTTTTTTTTTTACAATTTCCTAGTCTATACAAAATTACAGTGGACCCCCGCATAACGATGGCATCGCATAGCGATTTTTCCGCATAACGATTACTTTTATCGCAAAATTTTTGCCGCGCATACTGATTAAAAACCCGCATACCGATTTTCGTCCGAGACGGCCAATGTGCCTCAGCAGCCTCACATGTGCCGCCCCTCCCATTGTTTACCAGCCGCCCCGCGGGTAACACCAAGCTACCTCGGAATATTTCGTTTATTACAGTTTTTGGGTGTGTTTCTGGAAAATAAGTGCCATGGGCCCAAGAAAGCTCTGTCCAAACCCCTGTGGAAAAAGGGTGAGAATTAGTATGGAAAAAAAGAAAGATTTTAAAGGTTTTGGGGGGCAAACCCCTTTAAAAGCCATCCCAGTTGTGGAATCCATTGTGCCCTACTTAAAAATTTAAAGGAAAGTTGCAGAGGGGTTTTGAATGAAAAACCTTTTTAAATTTGAAATCCCCCTGACACGTTGCCCCGTGCTTTGATATTTCAATGACAATGTATGGCCATTTTGGGAAAAGTCTTAAAGGGGGAACGGGGGTACAGAGCTCTATGGACAGATTTGTTGTGCGACGAGTCAGTGACCTCAAGTGTCCTAGTTGCATTAAAAGAGGAAGTATCCCCAAAAGGACTTGCTACCTCAAGTCCAATGGAAGGGCTTCCCCTTCTAACAGTAAGAAATATGCTTCCCCTCCTCCCATCCCATCAATCATCACCAGATCTTCAATAAAAGTAAGTGTCATGTAATTGTGCATGCCTTTTTCAGTTTGTGTGTATTAAAATTAACATTTCATGTGGTAAAAAAAAATTTTTTTCATACTTTTGGCTTTGCACGATTAATTATTTTCTTATTTTCCATTTTTTTTATGGGGAAATTCTTCGCATAACGATTATTTCGCATACGATGAGCCCTCTTGCACGGATTAAAATCGTTAACCGGGGGTCCACTGTAGTTTGTTTTTTTGTGGGTGTAATGACCCTAACCTTTTTTTTCCCATTTGTTCTTCAGTTCAGTTTACACACTTTTTATTGCGTGACACTCTCATGGATGTAATTAATGTGTTATCCAAAGGTCAACTGTATGAATATTGGGGTGTGTGTTGTCTGGAACCTGAGTGATCATTCTTGGGGAACATGGAAAGGATATTGGTCCACAGAACTGTAAAGATAAATTATGTACAAACATGAGAAACTAACAGAAAGGTAAACACCCTTTGCAATATACACAGTTTTTTCCTGTCTTTATGATAGCTTAACCCTTAAACGGTCCGAACAAATCGATGTTCAAATTCGTAGTGCTACAAAAGTAGATCTACTTTTTTTAAACATATTTTCAAATGTAACAAAAAAATTTAGATAAAATTTTTTTTTACACATTTTCAAATGTAAAACAAAAAAGATCTACATTTTTTTACATACTTTCAGATGTTGAAAAAACGTATATATACGTTTGGACCATTTAAGGGTTAAAACAACGCAAGTTTGACACACTCTCAATATGGAAACTTGAATGGCCCTTAACTGTCTCCAACCCTTCCACAGTAAAAAGGCATCACAAGATGCTAACATACATATACGATGTAAAAGAAGGAAATTGAAAGTGAATATAGGAAAGAGTAAGGTGATGAGGATAACAAAAAAATTAGGTATTGGAAGACTGAATATCAGATTGGAGGGAGAGAGTATGGAGGAGGTGAATGTATTCAAATATTTGGGAGTGGACATGTCAGCAGATGGGTCTATGAAAGTTGAGCTGAATCACAGAATTGATGAGGGAAAAAAGGCGAGCGGTGCACCGAGGAGTCTGTGGATACAAGGAACTTTAGCCATGGAACTAAGAGGGGAATGTATGAGTATAGTTATACCAATGCATGGGTGGTGAATACTGCAACAAGGAGAAGGCTGAAGGCAGTGGAGATGTCATGTCTGAGGGCAATGTGTGGTGTGAATTTAATGCAGAGAATCTGTAGTTTGGAGATTAGGAGGAGGTGCGGGATTACCAAAACTATTATCCAGAGGGCTGAGGAGGGGTTACTGAGATGGTTTGGACATGTAGAGAGGATGGAACAAAACAGAATGACTTCGAGAGTGTATAAATCTGTAATGGAGGGAAGGCGGGGTAGGGGTCGGCCTAGGAAAGGTTGAAGGGAGGGGATAAAGGAGGTTTTATGTGCATGGGGCTTGGACTTCCAGTAAATGGGTGTGAGCATGTTAGATAGGAGCAAATGGAGACAAATGGTTTTTAGGACTCTATGTGCTGTTGGAGTGTAAGCAAGGTAACATTTAATGAAGGGATTCAGGGAAACTGGCATGCCAGACTTCATTCCTGGAGATGGGAAGTACAGTGCCAGCACTCTGAAGGAGGGGGGTTGATGTTGCAGTTTTATAACTGTAGTGTAAGCATGCCTCTGGCAAGACAGTGATGGAGCGAATGATGAAGGAAGTTTTTCTTTCTCGGGCCACCCTGCCTTGGTGGGAAACAGCCGATTTGTTGAAAGAAGAAGAATGTCATTCAATAGCCAAACACACTAAATTCATATTTTATATTTATGGCAATGGGGATGACAAGAACAAAAAGGAAGGAGTGTGAAACTAACTTACCTTGTACTGATGATGGAGAAGTGGGTTAGAACAAAGGAAGGAGTATGAAACTAACTTACCTGGTATGATGATGGAGAGGTGAGTTAGAACAAAGGAAGAAGTATGCAACTAACTTATCTGGTATTGATGATGGAGAGGTGAGTTAGAACAAAGGAAAGAGTATGAAACTAACTTACCTGGTACTGATGATGGAGAGGTGGGTTAGAACAAAGGAAGGAGTGAACATTGCAGTGGTGGAGGCGAGGAATGTTGCTATAACTACCCCCGGTGGCTCCACCAATCTGCAGAGGCAATTCACAATTAAAATTTACTATATAATTTACAAACTCAAATTAGTTATTTTTTTTAATCTGTTATCGATTCCAGGACTCATCACCACACCACTGTGAACTGGTCTCAGACTAGGCCTCCTAGGATATAAAGTAAATAGAGTACAGTATATGGTAAACAAATACCATTCTCCTATCCTTGTCTTGGGGACTTATATTAGAGAAAACGGAGTATAGCACAGGACTAACTATGATATACACTCGTACTCCACCATAAACATGAAACAAAAAAGTTATTTTCTCTCTATAGATTATCACACATAGCAGCATATGTGTAAAGAACCTAGGATAACCCAAAAAAGTCAACGTGGCTTATTTTAGTACCTGACTTGGGTTAGCCATATATGATTTTTGGTAAATATTCGATTCCCAGCCAGGGTAGAAACATTAGGCGTGTTTCTTTACACCTGTTGTCTATGTTTACCCATCAGTAAATGGGTACCTGGGTGTTAGTCGACTAGTGTGGGTGTTATCCTGGTACACTGACCTAATTTTCTTGAAATACTCAGCATAACAAGTGCCTTTCTATACAGTAGTATGTCACTGATGTCAGCTAGGCCTGTATACCTTGTACATGTACGTGTAGTAAATAAAGATATTTATTATTATTATTATTATTATTATTATTATTATTATTTTCTCAGTTGTTTGTTGGGTTATCTTAATCAAACTTGGGCAATGTATGATGGAAAGATACTTCTTCACGTACACCAAAAATGAAAGAAATCAGACAATAAATAGCGGAGTTCACTTCTCAGCCATTAGTGGTCGCTTAGCGGTATATTTTTGTATGGTTGTTATGGTTATACAGTGGACCCCCGGTTAACGATATCTTTTCATTCCAGAAGTATGTTCAGGTGCCAATACTGACCGAATTTGTTCCCATAAGGAATATTGTAAAGTAGATTAGTCCATTTCAGACCCCCAAACATACACGTACAACTGCACTTACATAAATACACTTACCTCTGTATGTGTGCTCAAATTGTAAATAAATAAATAAATAAATAAACATAATTGGTCGCATTGGGAGGTGATCGTTAAGTGGGGGTCCACTGTATTCTCATTTTTCGGTCTCATTTGATAGAATGAAAGATATATTACGGAAATAGATATGATTTTGATTGCTTTCACGATGAAAAGTACCTTGAAATTGTGCTCACAGTAGAGAAAATGTTCTATTCTTTAGCGAAGCTCAAGAGTAAACAAATGACGTCACCATCCAATACCTGTCCGCCTGCCAGTCTAAATTCCAGTACAGAGTCAAGAATGGATTGACATTATTTATACAATTATTACAATAATGCAGTAGTCTGCATAACAGTAAATCATCTATTTTTTTTTTTTTGTGAATAAAAATTCCAAGTGGTAAGCAAGAGTAATATAAGAGGGGCCTGCAGCTGTGACTAATGAACAGAGAAAATGTTATTTTAGTGCCAAGAATGTCTGCATTGTTTATTCTGGATCCTATTTTGAAATTGGCATCTGTTGAAATTTGTGTGAAATCGGCCAAATTGCCAATTTCTGACTACTTTATTGGGTAGTTGAAATAAGTGAATGGGCAGTTTCTTGTACTCAGTTGACAGACCAGAAGTAAATAAGTTTATTCAGGTATACACAAATACAGTTACATAGATTATCATACATAGCAGTGTATGTACAGAGAGCCTAGGATAACCCAGAAAAGTCAGACAAAGTGACTTATTTCCAGTACCTGGCTTGGGCTTGCCATATATGATTTTTGGTAATTTTTTTTTTTTCTTGGTTGTTTGTTGGGTTATCTCATTGAAACTTGGGCAATGTATGATGGAAAGATGCTTCTTAATGTACAACAAAAACAAAAAAGACGGACGATAAATAAGGGAGTTCACTTCTCAGCCATTAGCCGCCTCTTTGCAGTATATTTTCGTGTGGTTTTTATTTTTGTATTCTCATTTTTTGGACTCATTTGATAGAATGGAAGATATATTACAGAAATAGACATGATTTTGATTGCTTTCATGACGAAAAGTACCTTGAAATTGAGCTCAAAGTAGCGGAAATGTTTGATTTTTGCCGATGTTCAATGAACTGTGTAAGTCAAGTTGGTTAATTTTATTAAGTGTATTGTAACCTAACCACGCTGTAATTCGGCAAACTCAGTAATCCGGCACATTACAGGTCCCAATGATGCCGGATTTGTGATGGAGGACGTGTACTATATCTTTCTGAAGTGAGAGATATACAAGGAAGTATAAAATAAATTCAGAAAAAAAGCATGGGCACTAGAGGCACAATAAGAGAACAGCAAGTCTTCATCCATGACCTACGAATCTTCAACCTTCTACAGTACCAGCAGATGTCAGAAATGTTGTCGGAACAAATGCAGAAGTTTTCAAGAGGAAACTGGGTCACTACCTCTGGCAAGTGATAGATCAACCAAGCTGTGATGTATCATTACATCAAAGGTATATATGTAATATTATATCAACAAATTTACAAACGAGACACATATGCAACACCTGAGTATCTTTGCCAAAAGATGTTTCACCCACCAGGATTCATCAATCTAATATATGGACACAAGAATGAAGCTTTTTATTGTGGAGCACTGCTGTAATAGTAGACTTGGTCAAATGCCTACTCCTGCTGTATCATTCTACTTGCAATGGCACATTTGCTAGATTACCCATTAGCTTCCTTGTAGGAAACTAGAATGTCTCTACAACTTGACTGCAAAATCTCTGGCCCCTTTTAAAGGCCTGACCTACTTCTAGTGGAACCCACCCACATGTGACCAAGTCTACTACTGCTCCATCACTATTTCCACTAGCTCCACTATACAAGGCTGTTCTTATGTCTCTGTATTAGACTGATAAAACCACTGGGCGAACCATCTGTCATTAAATATACCCAAGTGTTGCAAAGTCTTCTTCATCATGTTGTGATAGTTATATGGGCCAGTGAGTTGCTACTAGCAACAACCTGGTTGACCATGCAATCAACTAAGCCTGACCAAAGGCCAGGCTACAATATTAGAGAAGTCTTCGAACCAGTCACAAGTTTCAGCTGTAGTACTGTACAGTAGTCAGTTTATATCTTGCAAATAATATCCTACTGTTTACATACACACATTCTTCATCTTTTCACACACTGTAGTTAAGAATCAGACTATTTAGCTCTTTTCAGACTATTTTCCCCCAAAATGTAATTTTTTTATGTAGCAAATTACAATGGTATCTCGGTATACATCCACTTTGGAAAAAGTCCAGCTTGGTATGTGTCCTGTTTGGACGCGAAAATTTTTGCTTGGTATATGACCTTTGTTTGGAATATGACCTGTGTGCTAGAACTTGTATGGGTCAAAATGAGTCACGATACCACGCGCTACCCTTGTTTACCTCTCTCTCGAGACAAAGCTACGACTGCCCACTATCAGTATGCCAGTTGCTACCATTCAGTGAAAAACACGTGCTGTAACTCTGTGAATTTTCATGTGATTTTGTGTTTTTCCGTATAAATTTTTAGTAAATTCATTAACCATGAGTTCAAAGAAAGCTAATGAGAAGGGCCAATCAATGAAGAAAATGGTTAGGATCACCATGGAGATGAAAAAAAGATTGTTGAAAGATACGACGGTGGCATGCGTATCCGGGACTTGGGTGCTGCATACCGTATGCCAAGAACAACGGTATCAATGACTGTGAAAAACAAAGATGTTATTAAATTGGCTAACATTGTGAAAGGGGTGAAATCGATTACCAAACAAAGATCAGGGACATTAGAGTATGTTGAAAAATTGCTTTTGATCTGGATAACAGGAAAACAGTGTGCCGGTGATAGCGTATCAGAGGCAATGATTTGCAAAAAGGCAAAACTGATGCATGCTGATCTTTTGAAAAACAAGGCAGGAACGAGCCAAGAAAGTGAAGTGTTTAAAGCCAGCCATGGCCGGTTTGATAATTTTAAGAGGAGGACTAGCATTAACCCTTTCAGGGTTTTGGACGTACTAGTATGGCTTACGCACCAGGGTTTTTGATATACTAGTACGCCTAAATTCTAGCGCCCTCAAATCTAGTGAGAGAAAGCTGGTAGGCCTACATATGAAAGAATGGGTCTATGTGGTCAGTGTGCGCAGTATAAAAAAAAATCCTGCAGCACACAGTGCATAATGAGAAAAAAAACTTTGACCGTGTTTTTGGATTAAAACAGCGACTTTGTACTGTATTTTCGTATGGTATTTATTGTTGTATTCTAGTTTTCCTGGTCTCATTTTATAGAATGGAAGACATATTACAGAAATTAAGATGATTTTGACTGGTTTTACAATGAAAAGTACCTTGAAATTGAGCTCGAAGTAGCAGAAATGTTCGATTTTTACCAAAGTTCAAAAGTAAACAAATCATACTAAGCATCCAATACACATCAACTGGTGAGTCTAATATTCTTTCACAAGTGCACTGATATTATTTATACCATTTCTACACTAGTGCAGTAGTCTGCATAACAGTAAATCTTCTATTTTTTGTGAGAATAAAAATTCAAAGTGGAAAGCAAAAGAATGTAAGAGGGGCCTGGGGATGTGATTAATGAACAGAGGAAATGTTATTTTAGTGCCAGGAATGTCTTTCTTGTTTATTCTGGACCCTATTTGGAAATTGGCATCTTTTGAAATTTGTGTGAAATTGGCAAAATTGCTAAACTCTGACCACTGTATTGGATAGTTGAAATCAGTAAATGGGTGGTTTCTTGTACTCATTCGATAGAGAAAATGGAGTTCTAGCGAAATAGTTATGATTTTTGTCGACTAGTACACTGGAATTGGCCGAAAATAGTGCTCAAAATGGGCAAAATCGCCGATGTGTAAACATCGTCGAGACCGCTAACTTCGCAAGAGCATAATTCCATAAGTTTTCTATCAAATTTCATACTTTTGGTGTCATTATGATCGGGAAAAGATTCTCTATCTTCTCATAAGAATTTTTTTTTTTTTTTTTAAATTTGGGCAACCCTAAGAACAAGTCTGGGAGGGCCTGGGGACCCTGAAAGGGTTAACAGCATTGTGAGGCATGGAGAGGGAGCCAGTGCTGATAAAGATGCCACCAATGATTTTGTTACAGAGTTTGGGGAATTTGTGGAGGCTGAGGGTTTTGTTCCCCAGCAAGTTTTTAATTGTGACGAAACAGGCCTTTTTTGGAAGAAAATGCCTAACAGGACCTATATTACACAAGAGGAGAAGGCATTACCAGGACACAAGCCAAGAGACAGAAAAGAGAAGGGGACTCTCCTTCCAAACAATAACATTTCCTCCTCCTTTCTCAGCACTATCCTAGTAGGCACTTGACTCTTTTCAGCAAAGTAAAATGAGTTTAAATTTGCATTTATTTCATCTAATTCTTTTGTGTTTATGTATGTATTTTAGTATTAAGCAGAGTTTAAATTACATATTTTAGTATTAAGCAGTGTTTAAATTATTTTATGCAACACCATCAATGTATAATATGCCAATAACAATAGGATTTTTTTCATGGGAACAGATTAATCGTTTTCCCTATATTTCTTATGGGAAAATTCGTTTGGTATAAGCCCTGTTTGGTATAAGTCCAAGGTCCTGGAACGGATTAAGGACGTATACTGAGGTACCACTGTGCAACATAAGTAGTCATTTATAACACCATTTGACATGTTTTATATAACATAACGCTAAATGGATCATCAGTCACAAGACTCACAGAGGGAAAATTCCTAGGTATCCACCTTGACAGTAGTCTTAAGTTCCAGACACACATACAACAAATCACCAAGAAAATCTCCAAGACTGTAGGCATACATTCCACAATCAGCTCTCCTGGCACTGTACGATTCACTCATACACCCTTATTTTACATATGGAATTTGTGCATGGGGATCAACAACATCCAATCACCTAAAACCCCTAATAACCCAGCAAAAGGCAGCAGTAAGAATGATGATAAATTCCCACTCCCGCCAGCATACTCCACCAATTTTCAAAAGTTTGAATCTGCTCACCATTAAGAACATCCATACTTATTCATGTGTCTACTACAAACACAGAACAATACACGTAAATATAAACCCCCAATCAAACTTCTCCTCACCAACCTAAACAGGACACATGATCACAACACAAGACACAGATCTCTTTTTGATATACCTCGTGTCCATATCACACTGTGTAAAAACTCTATGCACATAAAGGGCCCCAAAATATGGAATTCATTACCAGAAGATATTAAAGTAACCTAGTCTGAAAATAATTTTTTTTAAGACTCTTCTCAAAGCCACTTAATCACCCTAGACTAAATGCTAAATTTTACTCAGTACACACTTACTCACCTATGTACTCCCACATCATAAGTGAAACAATCACACTGAACCTTTTATCCATTGTTGACAGTAATATAATTGAATCATTGTTTTCAAAAAAGCATTTTCGAATATAAATATATCTTTGTATTATACAAATTTTGATTCATTTATAATTAATATTCTACTGTACAACTATGAAATAATTACTATCCTAGTATAACTATGATATACTCCTTAGTATTAAGTAGACTGTAAGCCAATAATGTTAAGTTGGCCCATAATGCCTGGGCATAATAGAGGCTCTCTTTGCATTGCAACCCACTATTGTAAATACAAAATCTCAATGTACTGTTTGCAAAGACATAAAATAAATAAATAAATAAATAAATAAATAAATAAATAAATAAATAAATTTAATATATACAGGCATTTTTGGTCTTAAATTTTTTAAGCTTACCTGGTGAGATGGGGACTGAACATGGCTACCACTGAGATGGTGTGTGTGATGGGGTTGTGTTGGGGCTGCACACATCATGGAAGATGCGCCACGGGCATGGGTATGGATATGGACGGCCTGTTGCTGCTGTTGGTGTTGTGGTTGGTGCTGTTGATGCTGCTGATGTTGATGCTGCTGATGTTGATGCTGCTGCTGGTGTTGCTGCTGCTGCTGAAACTGGTGGTGTCCTCCTCCACTGTTCATACTTGACATGGCCAGAGACACGGGCACCTAGAAATAAAAATTCTATGTTAGAACATGTTGCTTAGTATCATGCCAAATCTAAGATAAAGTTTATTTGATTAATCTATAACTAACCTACTTACGTGAAACATCAATGAATGACAAAAGAGTTTGCTTAAATGACAAGAAATCAGACTGAGGACCAATTACAGGTGGTGTGCCACAAGGGTCAGTATTGGGCCCAGGGTTCACAATATACATAAATGACATACATGAGGGAATATATAGTGACATAAGCAACTTTGCCAATGAAACTAAAATAGGTAATCAGATAAATTCTGATGAGGTAAAGAATGATCTAGATAAGCAGATGTGGTCAGGAAAGTCACAGATGCAACTGAATGGATAAATGTAAGGTTCTAATCCTGGAAAAAGAAATAGCCATGGCACTTATAAACTAAGTACTAAAGATCACAAACTAAATGCAATAAAGACTTTTGTTTATTTCTAATCAAAATTCTACAACTACTACTACTACTACTACTACTACTACCACCACTACTGCTTCTACTACTACCACCACTACCTCTTCCTTCCTATATATACCCATCCTGCTCCAATTCTGGTTAGTGTGACTTTGTAAATGGTCCAAGTCGGACCGAAACGTCGTCGTAAGCTCCTCTCTTCTATGTGCGGGTTATTTGTGTATCGTTCCAGTCACGGTATTGTGCCTTTTTGTTATTTATAAAATTCCTATGTCAAGATAACAGTACATAAGCATTCACAAAAAAGGTAATAGAATTCTTGGTTTCATATCAAGAAGTCAAAATAAGTCATCAAATTATACTTCAGTGTCTGAAAACACCAGGCATTTTCAGACACTACCTATTCTCAAAAACATAAAAGGTACTACAAACTGATACATCAACCTCATTTTCATGAGACTTAAAGTTTTGCCAACAACTCCAAAATTTCTGACATAACCCTAATCGCACTCAACTTTGAAAAAGCCATTGATAACGTGCTTCAGCACTGCTCCAGGCCTGACTTGCACAGCTCCATATTCAAGTACTGAAAGAAACCACTATATCATGAAAAGGAGCCTATTGTACACACAGGAATCATCCCACAGTTATTAAAAACAACACATATATATCCAATTCAAAAAAGTGACTATGAAATAATTGCAAAAATCTATATAAATAGCACTAATGTCCCATATTTATCAAAATCTTTTAAATAGTTTGAAGAAGCAGTATTGCTGATAACATGAAATCACAACAGTTGCATAACCTAGAGTAACGTGGGTTTCGAGTGGGTCACTCCTGCTTCTCGCAACTACTGGACCATAGCAACATGGTCTTAGATGTACTGAAAGACAAGCAAAATGCAAATGTAGTGTACAAAGACTTTCCAAGGGCCTTCAAGAAATGCAAAAAATGGTGCTAACTAGAAAAGTGGGTAGTTGGACTTTAAACTAACATATACAAGGAGTAAGAGTGAATAGAGTGGAAGCAGAGGCAGCCACAGTGAAAGTTTTGTTCTTCAAGGCATAGTACTTACTCCTAGTCTCTTAATTATTCCTATACAGGAGGGGTCCCGCTTACACAGCAGTGTAGGTTCTGGGCTACTGCTATAAAGCGAAAATGACTGTAAAGTGAAGCATAGCCTTTCTTACACTTTCAAATGCATATAAAAGCCTGATACCATGTTTACACTATCATATATTAAGTGTGCAATAGAGCTAAGCCTAAAAAATGCATTTGTATAGTACACACATTACTTACCTTAAAATATTTTTGTCCTTAGCTTATAGTGAGAGGTGAATATATTTATTGTAGGAAGTCTGAACAAATGAATAAAGGATATAATTGAAAACTGCTGTATTAGTGAAAATCCACAAAGCGAAGAGCTGTAAAACAGGGTGTGCTTGTATCTGACATAGACACAAATCATAAAACCATATTATCTCTTGTAAACGATAATAAATTAGGATAAATCCTCCAGAATTTTCTAGGTGTAAATTATAATGCGTCTTTCTCGCCTTAGTTCCAAGGAGCACAGATCGAGGGACTTCAAGCGGTCTCAATAATTTAGGTGTTTGACCAAATTTATACAAGCAATGAAGGTTCTCTGTACATTCTCCAGATCTGTGAATTTTCCTACTACAAAAGGGCTGTTAGTATGTATTAATCCAACCTATTTTTAAAACTACACAATGTCTTAGCTACCGTGACGGTACTCGGGAGTTTGTTTCGCTCATCCATAACTCTATTACCAAACCAGTGCTTTCCTATATCCTTCCTGAATTTGAATTTTTCCAATTTAAAACTATTGCTGCAAGTCCTGTTTATGTTAGATATTTTTAATATGCTATTTACATCCCCTTTATTTATTCTTTATTTTTCACTTATACACCTCAATCATATTCCCCCTAATTCTACGCCTTTCTAGAGAGTGCAGATTCAGGGCCCTCAGCCTATCCTCATAGGGAAGATTTCTGATACATGGGATCAACTTTGTCATCCTCCTTTGTATGTTTTCCAGTGCATTTATATCCACTCTGTAATACGGTGACCAAAACTGTGCAGCATAGTCTAAATGAGGCCTAACCAAGTATATATAGAGCTGAAGAACAACCTGAGGACTTTTATTATTCATACTTCCTGATGTGAAGCCAAGGATTCTGTTAGCTTTATTGCGAACACTACTGCACTGTTGTCTTGGTTTTAGATTACTGCTAACCAGAACTTCTAAATCCTTTTTGCAATCCATAATATTAAGATCTACATTATTTAGTTTATATGTGGTATGGTTATTTTCCTGTCCAACATTTAGAACTTTGCATTTGTCTATATTAAACTGCATCTGCCACTTCTCCGACCACTGCATCAGTCTATTCAAATCATCCTGGAGTGCTCTAATGGCCTCATTAGAATGAATTGGACGGCCTACAGGGTTATAAACTATTCCACACTGATAGGGTCAACAGGAAGGGTGGTGGAGTGGCGATGTATGTCAGAGAAAATTTAAATTGTTGTCTTAGACATGATATAAGATTAGAAACATCGAACACAGAATCTGTTTGGCTACAGTTTCTCGAGGGATGTGACAAATTAATTATGGGTGTGATTTATAGGCCCCCAAACCTTGATAGGGAGTGCAGTAAGCTGTTATGGGACGAAATTCATAAGGCATCTAGATATGAAAATGTTGTGATAATGGGAGATTTTAACTTTAGACAAATTGACTGGAACAATATGACAGGAAATCTTGAGTCTAGTGACTTTCTTGATACGGTTCAGGATTGCTTTTTAGAACAGGCTGTGACAGAACCAACTAGAGGAAACAATCTGCTTGACTTGGTTCTTGCCAACAAAGATTCACTAATTAATAATCTTGAGGTTAATGATGAGCTTGGGGAAAGTGATCACAAATCACTTAGTTTCAATGTATCATGGAATTACCCAGATAACTGCAATCAAATCTCTGTCCCAGATTTTCGCTTGGCTGACTTCCTGGGACTGAAAAATTACCTGGGTGGGCTAAATTGGGATGTCCTAACTATGGGTCAGGTAGATGATCTTGGTTGCCAATATGACATTTTTCAGAGCATAGTTCTAGCTGTCCAGACAACTTTTGTTCCGAGTAGGGAAATTAGATCTAACAAAAATGATCCCAAATGGATGAACAATAGATTAAAACATCTCACTGGTCAAAAGAGAGGCATATATAGGCATATCAAAAGAGGGGATGGGCAGTTAAGAAATCAATATATTCAATTAAACAGAGAAATAAAGAAAGGAATAAGAAAAGCAAAAAGGGATTATGAGGCTAAGGTCACAAGGGATTCAAAGACTAACCCAAAAGGGTTCTTTCAGGTATACAGAAGTAAGATTAGGGACAAGATTGGCCCACTTAAGAGTAACTCTGGTCAGATCACTGACAGTGATAAGGATATGTGTGAAATTCTCAATACCTACTTCCTCTCTGTTTTCACCCAGGAAAATACTAGCGATATTCCTGAAATAATAGATTATGTAGAACAGGATAATAAACTATGTACGATTGCGGTAACTAGTGACATGGTCCTCAGACAAATAGAGAAACTAAAACCTAACAAATCCCCAGGCCCTGATGAACTGTTTGTAAGGGTGTTAAAGGAATGTAAAGAGGAACTTAGCATACCTTTGGCTAATCTTTTTAACATATCACTACAAACTGGCATAGCGCCTGATAAGGGGAAAATGGCAAATGTAATACCTATTTACAAGGTAGGTGACAGGTCCTTGGTTTCGAACTATAGAACAGTAAGCCTTACCTCCATAGTGGGAAAATTTATGGAATCAATAATTGCCGAAGCAATTCGTAGCCATCTTGATAGGCACAGATTGATTAATGAATCTCAACACGGTTTTACAAAGGGGGCATTCCTGTCTTACGAATTTACTAACTTTTTTCACTAAGGTGTTTGAGGAGGTAGATCATGGTAATGAATATGATATTGTGTATATGGACTTCAGTAAGGCTTTCGATCGAGTTCCACACCAGAGGCTATTGAAGAAACTTAAGGCACACGGAATAGGAAGAGAAATTTTTTCCTGGGTAGAGGCATGGCGGACAAATAGGCAGCAGAGAGTTTGCATAAATGGGGAGAAATCAGAATGGGGGCACGTCACAAACGGTGTTCCTCAGGGGTCAGTGTTGGGCCCGTTGTTGTTCACAATTTACATACACAACATAGATGAGGGAATAAATAGCGACATAAGCAAATTTGCTGATGATACCAAAATAGGCCATCCAATTCATTCTAATGAGGACACTAGAGCACTCCAGGATGATTTGAATAGACAGATGCAATGGTCGGAGAAGTGGCAGATGCAATTTAATATTGACAAATGCAAAGTTCTAAATGTTGGACAGTTAAATAACCATGCCACATATAAACTAAATAATGTAGATCTTAATACTACTGATTGCAAAAAGGATTTAGGAGTTCTGGTTAGCAGTAATCTAAAACCAAGACAACAGTGTATTAGTGTTCGCAA